CCGGCTCACACATTTTTGTCTTAACTCAGGAAGGAGGGCTCCAGAGCAGACTAATTTATGCAGCAGCCAAATCGCCAGCTCACAACTTTCATGCCAGTAGCTCACAAAATAGAATTTTTGCTCACAAGACTCCACAGCTTAGAGGGAACATTGGTTGTAACCCAAGATTTAACCCAAGGAAAGTAAAAAATGTGTGCTTTTGGGGGATCCTCTTCTTATAATTAGAAAGTGTCCTAATTTACAGCCATATATATTTGGGAATCAGACTTTATGGCACACACTGACCTATAAGAACATGACTAAAGCCATTGTTCTTTGACTTTGTCAAGCAGTGTTGCTGGCTCAGCATAATATCACTGAATCAGCAGTCTCAGATAAGCAAGTGTTGGATCGGATCATGTGATTCACAAAGTTGAACTGAGATAACCTGTGCTTTCTCTGCTAGGATGTACTATGTGGATATTCTTACAATTTATCAATTTGTGTAGGCAGGTGCAGCTTTGTGACTTTTGGTTCATCCAAAATGGATGCCATCATTTTAAGGAAAATGTGAGAGGACCGATTTCCACATTTTGTACTTTAGTCTTGCCATCACTTTGTATATTTAATTAAATATTTTTCCTCTCCTTGTCTTGACAATGTCTTACTATAGCAGCTTAATGCTATGTAAGGAAAAGAATAAAGATATTTGTGAATAGAAATGTACCAATTAAACCAGCAAACTGTACAAATAGAAAACCAAACAGATATTTAGAGGTTGGCAGAAGATCATATTCATTTTTATGGCTCAAACAGTATTCTTTGAAGTAAAGCTCTGAGTTTTTAAACTGGGTTTATTTCTGTGTGCATTTAGATGAACACATACAGCTTATGCTGAGTCAGACACTGAGTTGGTCTATCTCAGTGCTATCTCCTTTGCCTGGCAGCAGTTGTCCAGGTTCTTTCACATTGCCTGACCTTTTTAACTGGAGATGCTAGGGCCTGAATCTTCTGCAAGCTAGGTCTATCACTGAGCCACAAAGTCTCGACTGGCTTCCTCCCTCCCTCCCTCCTTCCTTCCTTCCTTCACTGGCAAGTCACAACCAACTAATGGTGACCCCTTAGGGTTTTCAATGCAAGAGATATTCAGAAGTGGTTTGCCATTGCCTGCCTCTACATAGCAACCCTGGACTTCCTTGGTGGTCTCTGATCCAAGTACTAACCAGGACCGACCTGCTTAGCTTCTGAGATCTGATGCCTGCATGTAATAGCAACATGCCTCAGGCTACCCAAAGAGCTTCATCGATAAACAACTTTTACATGTGGCTTTCTCAGATCCAAACTCGGCACAATATCCATTGTGTCACATTTACAAGGACAACATGAACCTTTTAAAGCATGGTGTTCACCACTACTAATGTATTAATGGAAGGTCATTTGCGGTCCAAAAAACATTATCCTGAGGTAATCAGAATTATGGCTGCACAGATACATTAAAAGATCTTATCTACGCATGCGTGAGCTCAGAAGTCTATTATGTATGTTCAGAGAGGGTGTCTAAGTGAAGCTACTCTTATAACCCTTTCTAGTGCAGAGCACAGTACCAGCCACACATGTTGGTTGGGAGTGGTAGACAGGACCCCAAAAGGAGAACATGGCAATTTAAATTCAGTTTTGTAGAATCTATTTTTAAATGTCCTGAATGATATTTTTGTGTGGTAAACTGATCATAGAATCATAGAGTTGAAAGGGACCTCCAGGGACATCTAGCCCAACCCCCTGCACAATGCAGGAAATTCACAAATACATCCCCTTCCACACTGCTGTTTCACACCCAGAAGATGACAAAAAACCTCCAGGATCTCTGGCCAAATCCCAGAGTGGCAATCAGAATCTCCCTGGGCGTGTAAGAAAGGGTCACAAGAACTAAGCACTGAGGCAACCCTTCCTGCCCTCCCTCTCATGATCTGCCTAAGTTCACAGAATCCGCATTGCTCTCAGATGGCCATCTAGACATGCCTTCTTGACCTGGATGGCCTAGGCTAGCCTGATCTCCTCAGATCTCAGAAGCTAAGCTGGTTAGCACATGGATGGGAGACCACCAAGGACGTCCAGGGAGGCTATGCAGACGCAGGCAATGGCAAACCACCTCTGTTTATTTCTAGCCTTGAATACCCTATCGGGTGGCTATAAATCAGTTGGGACTTGAGGTTATTTTTCAACTCCAAGCTGGTAAATCTCTATGATGGCCTGTGTTTTTCTCTTACGATCTTTGCCTCTAAGTTCTTCTCATTGGAATTGTGGTAGACCTCATATTACTATTCTTCTGGCTAATAGATGCAGAATCAGTCCCCAGTCATGGTTCTCTCCCAGATAGCAACAACATATCCAGCTTCATTCCATAACCAAAAAAATAAAAGTAGAGACATCACCCTGCCAACAAAAGTCCACATGGTCAAAGCAATGGTATTCCCAGTAGTCATGTATGGCTACGAGAGTTGGACTATAAGGAAGGCCAAGCGCCGAAGAATAGATGCTTTTGAACTATGGTGCTGGAGAAGACTCTTGAGAGTCCCTTGGACTGCAAGAAGATCAAATCAGTCAATCCTAAAATAAATCAACCCTGATTGTTCCCTGGAAAGCCAGATAATGAAACTGAAGCTCAAATACTTTGGCCACCAAATGAGAAGGGAGCACTCACTGGAGAAGACCCTGATGCTGGGAAAGATTGAAGGTCAAAGAAGACGGGGACGGCAAAGGTTGAGATGGTTAGACAGTGTCATAGATGCAACAAACATGAAGTTGAGCAAACTTCAGAGGACGGCGGAAGACCGGAAGGCCTGGCGTGATCTGGTCCATGGGGTCACGAAGAGTCAGACTCGACTGCGACTGAACAACAACAAAAATTCCTGTCACAATTCACATATGACACTTCAGTTTCCAGAGGTTCCTGTAAACCTCTCTTTACTGCTTACCAATACAGTGGTTGAACTTTTATTGTTTTTTATTCTTGAAAAGATATTGCTGCTTTGCTGTCCAGGAGATATATTTATAGCTTGCTGGTTTAGTTTTTCTAATCATTGTGATCCTGCCTAGTGTGGAATGTTTCTTTGTCTTATCCTTTGCAAGAGAAAGAACGGTAGTGCAATAAGGAAGCAGTGTTATGATCTTTCTTGCTGTTGCTTCTGGTATCTATTATACTAAATCACACCCAGGTGGGCTTTCCTTCATCATCTTCTGATGATTTATACATCTGTTGTGAAATATCTCTCACTAAATATCTTCATGTTCTAACAAGGATGTTTCAGTTTTGTCAGGATAAATATGTTTTATGTTGTCTTGTCCAATAATTTGAAGTTCTCTGCTATGAAAGATGGCATGAAATGCGCTTGTTATTTTACCTCATAGGGACTAATAAAATGGCACCATAAATCAGGGGGATTGTAGGCCCAAATGTTGGTATTATGCATACTAATGCTTACAAGAATCTTGATTCCCTCTTTTAAATATCAAGAGCCCTGGGGTGGATGGAAGAGAGGCTGAGGGGGATTTGTTTTTAGTCAATAAAAAAATTCATTACAGATTGTTGTATAACCATACTTCAAAAATTAAACAGTAACAGTATTTATCTGTCCCATTTTTTTTAATCTGCTGTTTCTTTGTAACGAAATTAAAGGTGGGACTGGAGTGAACCTCCCCCTCCAAGCCCAACACTTTATTCTTTATTCCTAGTTCACATTTACATAGAATTCTTGATCCATTTAGTTTGTACTACCCTCCGATATCAAGGCCCCAGAATAAAATAATAAGGTCTGAAGTATACCATGGTGATATGTAGGACATAAACTTTTCACCATCAGGATTTATAACTTTGCTAGTAGCACTTCAAAACAGCTGTGGGAAACATAATATGCAGTCCTAAGCATATTGAATCCTAAGCATATGTACCCAGAATCAAATATTATTGAGGTCAATGGGTTGTACTCCCTAGTAAATGTGCTTAAGATTGCAGCAGAGTTGCTAACTCTGGCTTGGGAAATTCATGGGGATTTTACAGTGGAGCCTGGGGTTTAGGGAGGCAGGGACCTCAGCAGGGCATAAAACTGCAGCGTCCACCCTCCAAAGCAGCCATTTTCTCCAGGGTGACTGATCTCTGTAGTCTGGAGATCAGTTGTAATTCCAGGAGATCTCCAGCCCCCACCTGGAGGTTGGCAACCCTAGATTGCAGTCATAATCTGTATATCACCCGTTATTACATTTGTGTCTGACTTTTCCTCTGAGTTTTTATTTATTTATTTGATTTATATCCCGCCCTTCCCGCAAGCGGGCTCTGGGTGGCTCATATCACAATGATACACATGATTCCCTCCTCCATTTTTTCCCTTCACACCAAGCCTGTAATGTGTAGATTCAGCTGAGAGATTGTTACTGGCCCAAGATCACCCAGTGTTAAACAAGGACTTGAGCACAGGTCTCACTGCTTTTAGTCAGGCATACTAACTATTACACCATATCATGTCTATGTAATAATATTTATAATATTAGTTATGTGTATTTTACTGGTTCTACAATCACAATCTACACAAGGTAGGGTACAATAAAATATTTAGCACGCAAAAGAATGATCAAATACATGGAAAGAACATAGATGGTTTTTGTAAGTACTAGTATTCATTTTTATGTGTTAATTACCTTTCCATCCCTTCCTTTCTCTGATGTGTTTGGTGCGGCATACGAGGCACTTAACATATAATGACTATTTCTTTCCCCAAATTGTCTGAATTCCAGACTATATCAGTTGCTAATGCTATACTTGTGAAGAATGCAGCTTTTTCCAAGCAGTAACTTGGTGGATATAATATTTAACATTGAAAATTACAACTGTATGTAAGGTTAACTTCGACAACAATGAAGAATAAAACAAAACTAAAGAATTTACCTAATCAGGCTTAGCAGATGAACATGTGCAAGTTCTTAGCTGGGATAAATCAAGCCACTACATGTGTTCTTTGTCTTAACAGAATGAAAATGCCCTTGTGAAAGAAAAGGAACTCTCAGCTGAACTTGCAAACATCAAAGATGAAGTCGGTAAGTGGAGATGCTTTATAAGCAGTGGGTTTTTAATGTCCTTTTTTCCAGATATTTCTTGAAAGGTTATTTCTTGTACCGTGGTTCATTGCAATCTGTGTAAATCTAACAAGGCATCATTTTAAGCACCGTGACAGATTTTTATGGCCTGACTGGGAACAATAATTTTGCCTCTTTGTTGTTATTAGACAGGTTGATAACCATACAGACTGAAGGTAATTATGCATTATCTTTACCATTCACAGATGGTAACAGGTAAATTTGTATTGTCTCCTTTCAGATAGCATCTATACCCATTGCAAAGGCTGACTGTGGAACTCAGGTCATACTAAGACTGATTGGACATGATATTCACAGATGTGGTTATTTGCAGGTGTAATTACATGAGAAATTCCAATATGTTTAAAGTCAAGCTATCTCTTCTTCCCTCTAATTCATCCTTACAGTGTATGGTGGCATGAGCATCATATTCTACTCTGTGATGCATTTGGATACATACTTTTCTGCAAGTAATTTTTCAACTACATGCATCCGTGGTCCCACTCAGTAGTTAGTTCTTGGCCTTTCCCCCTTCCTGTTCTGTTTCTTACATCTGTAAGTAATAAGTATACATATCTTTGTTTTATTTAACTTCATTTATATCCTTCCTTTTTCCCTAATGGGAACCCAAAACAGCTTATGCCCCACTGATATCCCTCTCTTCCCCAAAGCCTGCCCTCCCCATGCTCCACCCCCAAAATATCCTGGAATTTTACAATCCAGAGCTGGCAACCCTGATCCAAGGTTACACAGCACGCTTCCATGGCAGAGTGGAGATTCGAAACCAAGTCTCCTCGTTCCTAGTCCACCACTCTAACCCCTATTACTAGACAACCTAAGGCCATAAAATTGCTATCTCCAAAAGCTATAAGTTATTATTCACCATTGTTATCTTTCCTAACTATTTATTTATTTATATAGGTTCATTTATAGTCCACCTTTCTCACTGAGACCCAAGGTGGATTTCAACTAAAAACAATAAAACAGTAGAAACAATGTAATATGTACAACCAACAAAATTAGAGAACACTGCACCAAAATGCAGGATTACGGGACTGGGGAGAAATGCAGTGAAACACATTCGACAAACCAAGTAATAAGGCTAGATTACAAAACTGCAGGAGAATGTGAAAAAAATGTGAACAATGACACCCACCTTAAATTCAACATTCACCACAACTCCAAATGCCCTCCTAAACGGTTCTCCTTTGCACATTCTGAGAAACAACAGAAATGTGGGAGCCTGCCTGGCCTCCTCAAGCAATCCATTCTCCCAGGTGTGAGAAACATACAGAGGAAGCTCAGATATGGACTGCTCTCGGTCTTGCTCATTTTCCCTTCAATGGGAGCTAAGCAGTGCTTCATTTCTAAAATGTAAGCTGCCTGAGCTCACAAAGCATAACTTCTAAAATGCCGAGGCATTCATTCCAATCCTAGATTTATCAGTAATGTTGAAAAATCACTCTGTACTCAGAGGCATTCCCATCTTTTCCCCGTGACTTCTCTCCTTTTAATTTAAAAGTACATTTAAATGGAAGTCCCCATCTATATACAATTCCATTATTCTTCAACCTATCCATCAAAAACCTTAAATTGCGCCTTTTTTGGAGAGAAAGGGGTAGGGGTAGGATCTCTTGGAATAATTGAGTTGTTTCATCACTTATTACTAATGATCATGTCTTAGTTTGTTCACTATTTCTTCTTTCTTTCATAAAGATTCAAAAGATACTACCATAGCATGACATACTTGCCTGCTTCTCACACTATCTTTGAGTTAATCCTATAGGCTCTACTAATCTTTACTCCCTCCTTCAAAACACACCTGCAAATAAATTTTCTAAGTAAGCAATTAAATATTCTTCCTCCCGTTCTTTAGTACTCCTCAGCTCCAACAATGCTCTCCTTAGTTTATTATCAAGTTCTTCCAGTTTTTCCTCTAATTCCAAGGTTTTGTCATCATTTCCATGTGAAATTGCCTCATTGATCATGCATTTTGAATCTAGCAATTCCACTTTTGTTCTAGTGGATCAATTTGTATCTGCTGATCTTTAACTTCACATAGTTTTTAAAGAATTTCCTCTGGTTTTTCTCTGTTGATTCTAACCTCTTATGTAAAAATTGAAGTTTCCTTTCAAAAGTTTGAGTAATAGTTATTTCAAAATTCTTCAATTCATTCACAAAAAGTTCTCAAATACTATTCTAGAGAGAGGGAAGGTGATTCAGGTGATGAGGAACTCATTTCCTCATCACCTGAATCACCTTCCCTCTCTAACTTAATACTCTAACATTAATACTCTAACAACCTATTCTTTTAAAATCCACTTAATCAATTAATTAATTAACTCCACTTAATCAACAGGCGCGAGATAAGCCTGATAACACACCGGCTCCTATGTGTGACAGAAACAGCTGCTGCCAGAAGTGCAATCTCCCCTCTTCCCTCCCCATTGCTTCTCATGGTCTAGAGTAGACCCATTGCATTGAAAGCTCAGTCTAGGCTAAACCCCAATATTTCCAGGAAACAAGGGAGTACACATGTAGGCTCCATAACAAGTACTTTTAAAACCCTGGTTTAAGGTATTTAGGTCTCCTTATGCACCAGCATGTCTTGGGGAAGTACTAGAAAAAGAAAAGAGACAGTTCTGATTTCACAAGTTCACTTTTATTGATTACCAAGAGGGTAGAGAATGGCAAGAAAAGAGAAAATGTAAATGCAATGCAAAACAAAGCAAACTACCGTGCGAGCATTTGTTATGTCATCTTGCAACCCACTCCATAGATAGCAGTGTCAATCCCACCCAAGTGTGGCTGCATGAACAATATCTCTAGCAGAGGAAAAAATAGCAAGATAAGGGATGGGATGGGAAGGGAAGGGGGGGGAGAAGAGGGATTGAGTGCCCATCTGGAGATTGGGAGGTGGTACAACAGTGAAGGGAGGCAGGAGTTGGAAAGGGGGTTCTGGGATAGGGATGGCCAGAGGAGGGCTCACTGCATAGAGGAGGCACAGGTGAGAGGAAGGGGAGGAAGTGGTTGGGTGAGAAGAACAGAGGACAAGAATGTGGCCAGTGGCCAAGAGGTTGGTAAAGGCTTTTGAAGGAAGACAGTTCTGGAGACCTGCAGAAGAAAGAGAAGGTACAAGTGGGGAGAAGTGACCGAGAGAAGGCAGAGTAATTAGCGGAGAGAGGAGCTAGGTCATTTGTTGTTTGAACCTCGAGGTTGGACTACTGCAATGCTCTCTACATGGGGCTGCCCTTGGTGCAACTCCAGAAGCTGCAGCTGGTGCAGAATGTGGCGGCCAGGCTGCTGATGGGCCTCCCCAGGTGGGAGCACATCCAGCCTGTGCTTAAGACTCTGCACTGGCTTCCAGTAGCATTCCGGATTCGCTTCAAGGTGCTGGTTTTGACCTTTAAAGCCCTTTATGGTCAGGGACCAGCCTACCTTTCCCTATATGTTCCCCAGAGAGCACTGCGATCAGGATCCCAAAACCGCCTGGACCTCCCTGGCCCTAAGGAAGTCAGGTTGATGGTAACCAGGACGAGGCTTTTTTGTTTGCAGCTCCGGCCTACTGAAACGAGCTTCCTGCCGAGATCAGGGCCCTGCGGGACTTGTCACAGTTCCGCAGGGCTGTGAAAACAGAACTTTTCAGGCAGGCGTTCCGATAGGAGTGACGTTCTACCAGCAGCGCCCTGTGCAAACTCCGATCCTATACGACCTAATGGGGCGGTACCGCCGAATGTGTCCCTAAATTGCACTTTAGTTTTATCACCGTCTAATTTTTTTATATTGATTGGTTCTATATTTTATATTGATTGGTTGTATTTTAACTGATGTTTTATATTTTATACTTACTGTGAATGTATACTGCTTGTCAGTTCGTGGAAGCCGTCCTGAGCCTGCTTGGCGGGGAGGGTGGGGTAAAAGTGAAATAAATAAATAAATAAATAATTTAAATCGCCTTGCAATGTGCGTAATGCTAGTTAGCACATGCAGTGTTAGCACATCAGCACAACTGCCCAGGCGATGAATCTTGGGCATATGAGGCAGCTGAAAGTCCAGGCGATGGACACATGCAGTAGTTCATAGTACACTCTTCTACCCCACTAGTATCCCTCTGCACAGAGACAAGACACGCCTAACAGCCCACAGGTGTTACTACTGTTTTGTAAGAAAGCAAGTTCTACTTAGGAGCCCTTTCTGACCATGGAGGTGGAGGGGGAATTAGCTATTCCTTAGAAGGAGTTGCTTGGTTGTTGTTGTTTTTTTGCAATATTTCCATAACAACGTGTTTTCTCTGACCTTTCCTTTTATTATTCCTTCTAGTGGTGCCACTGTGGATTGTTGGACTAATCCAATCACTGCATTATACAGGCACTTCTGGTACATTTGTGCCTACTTTATTTCAGTCTTCTCAATTATATGAGTTAATCTTCCCACAGACAGCAGATCATTATTGCTGTAAGTGTCAATTAAAGCAAAGAAAATCCTACTCCCAGTGGGGCTTACCATTCCGTAAGTGTTGCAGCCTTATTGATTATTCATAGAAGGGGCTAACCCACTGGGAACTTCTGATGTGCAAGTCCCAATGCAAAGAATGGAAGCTGTATCAGTGTACATGATGGGTTCTACCATGACATTCCCATCCACTTAAGGGGTATGTTGTATGCATGACAAAGCTGTCTCACATACCCACCCACCCCGAACATTTCATCCTTTGAAGCAACACTTGATTGTTAATCGACTTAAATGTTGCTATAAGGTCCAGCATGGTCAGGAAGGTCTGTTGTTCATCGGCCTAAGGATCTGATGGTCAACTAGATTCACAAATAGCGAGCCAGTCTGGTCCTTAACACCAGGTGAGGGACCCACACACCCTGTTTGGCGTCACCTCCCAAGTTTTTGCAGTCCAGGGAATAATTCTTGCCATTTCCAAAGGGGAGATAGTGTATTATGTGCTTTACATC